ATGTCCAAGCCTAAATGAAACCAAGTACTATCCCAATTGACCCACATTTGAATCCAATTCTATCCTAAATCGAAAAGCCCCAATTTGACCCAAAACCAAAATCTCACTCAATTGAACCTCCAAACCTATCAAATTTCCCCAACTTTAAATTTCCTCAACTTTACATCATAAACTTTTCAAAACACCCCCCTTATCAAACTAAACCATCAATTGGCCTTGGTCAAACCTCAATTTCACTCAAAATCAACTTAGTCCAAACTCCCCAATTTAGTTATTTCTCCAAATGTCACCAAATTGAATGCCCAATACCTAAAACTGACACCCAATTAATGTTGAGAACTCTTCATAACATCCCCCTAGACCATTTTGAACCCTTAATTTGGACTTAGCCCAACTCAAGCCTAACCTAAACCCAAGTTTAACCAGACATCTCCAAATTGATCAAATGCCCAAATTCCTTCAAATTGAACCTCCAAATCAGCTCATAATCACTTCAAATCTTTTCTAAAATCAATATGACAATTAAATATACCAAGCTGCTCAATCAATTAAGTCCAATGTCATGGCTAGCCCAACCTAAACCCAACTTCAAGCCAATTTGACCCAAATTGACCAAGTTATGCCAAATTGATCAAGCTAAAGCTTCTACAGCCAACTTCTGGACCCTAATGATCAGGATAAACTCACCTAGCCCACCCTATATGAGCTATGGACCAATGGTCCCTTTATTTAAGGGATTTCACTCATATTTGGCCTAAACTTGAAATATATTTGTCATCATTGCTTACCCTTGTGGGCTAATCATAATTAGCCACCACCTGAACTCCCTGAGCCAAGTGATGACCAGACCTTGGCGAGTCACCACCTCAGTAGCCGGAAACAGTCAGCCTAAAGGAGCCCAAGTTGGGCAAAACCCAAAATTTGAACTCCTTGACTTGGCTCACTCCAATTGGATACTTGTGCCTTTCTTCCCTCCACCTCAGCAAGCTTTAGTACCCAATTCCAAGCCCTAAGCTCCACCAGGCAGCTATGGCTATAAAGGAACCTCTCCATGGATAAATGGGAGAGAGCTTGAAACCTTAGGGAAACTCTGCCAAAGTCTCACCAGAGCCTCTCCAAACCTTCTTAAATTCAATGCATCTGTATAACAAATCCACTTGCTCGCAGTCACTCATAGCCACTCCACAGAGCCAAATTCTTCACTGAAATTTTCCCTAAAACCAGAACAGATTTCCCCACACATCCACAGTCTACCAAAGTTCAATTAATTGTGCCACACCATCATCAGAGTGAAAGAAGAAGATCCCCCGCAAAAGCCCCATCACAGAGAGCCCCTAGCATAGACTTTGTTCAACACCTGAAATCTACTTTGATGAAAATCATTCCTAGACAATTCACCACAGCCCAAAACTTCATCTAGAGGTTCATTGGACTCAATCAAAGCTACTAAAACCATCACAACTTAAATTGATGAAGTACAAGGTTTAAAATCATCACAACTTAAATTGAACCACATTTTGGTAAAACATGAATATAAAATTAATAATATGACAACCTAGTTAAAATATACTTTGCTAGTTATAATAATGGATTATAAAGGATTCAAAATCAAAAAAGATAATAGCATAATATAAAATGATTGATACTAAGATTACTTATGGTAACGATTAACAAAATATAAGTTGTGGTATTGATTTTGATGATCAGGATGATGTTTCATCTTATATAAAGGGAAGAACTAGATGTCATGTATTTGATGAGCAGATAAGATCGATTTAATATTTCATCACCTAAAAAGAGGGGAATTAGGTGGCTAAGCACCAACAAGCAACTCAAGTTAATATTAGCAGTCAATCTCTTACAAGGAGAGAAGCCCTGACAACCTATAATGAGTAATGATTAGAGATGATCAAAAAGGCCCCTTTCTTGGAAAGTGAAGGAGCTATGTAACCAAAAGTTGAAAGGTAATTGAGATAAGTCCCTCTTATAGAAGAGAGAATTAAATGATACATAGTCGATGTACAACTGAAAATAATTGAGATGATCATGTCTTTTAAAATGGAGAGGGAAATAATAGCTAAATGATGGTGAAATAAGAAGCATCCAAGAGCACAAAAGATAGCCAACAAGTGCTTCTAACTTTGGTCAAAACTTTAGAAATGTCCATGATATGGGTATTTTGTTTCATAAAGGTTGTATTTAATCATGTCATATTTTTTTAAATAATGGAGAGCGATTGTATCATTTGTCATGTTCTACTTAATATGTTCAAGTATAAGATAGTTTAGATCACATCCTGCCTAATTTGGTAGGGGACAAAATTCCTCGCTAGGTCAACCTAATGGACCCAAGTCAACCCAAGTGTTCAACAAGTCTGGTAGTAATCAATGATTTAGTAGCAAACACTACAAGTGATGCCTTTGATCTATGCATGAAGTATATTAGTTTAAGGCTTTCCACATCAGAGAAGTAACAAAATTGGATCAAAATTAAGCATGTCTCCATTTTGATTCAACCAGTCCATGGCCCAACAAAAATTTTAAGGCTTTTGTTATCATTTAAATCATCAAAATGAAATGATTGCTATTAGTTTAAATATGTAATATTCAAAAAAAATTTCTCCTTCAAATAGTTTTCAAAAACCATCATTCCAAATTTTTGTATGCTTACAATTCTAACATTTATAAGATTAAATTTTATTTGAATCTAACTTGAATTGAATCAACTAGCTAGTTAAAATGCCTAAAATGACTCTAAACATTGGCCAAATAAGAAGTCGTTAATCAAATAGAGCACAGAATGTAAGCAAATATATGAAGATATACTCATGTATTTGTAGGCTTGTGGGATTAATTTATGTAAAAAACAACTTTTATATAATTGCGTGCCTTTAGTAACCTTAGCAAATAGGACAATAAATTAAAAGTAGTAAATATAATGAATTTTTCTTTAACAAACTTCACGATTTAGCATATTAGAATAGACATCAAGTCCTGCATAACAAAAATTAGTTTTGTAAGTTGAAGCGTGCACACAGATATTAGTAAAAATTTGCTTATCTTTTAAAAATATGAAACTTAATCTTCATATTAAATATCAAAGACTAATATGGGTAGATAAATGTGATTAATTCACTCAAATAAAATTCTTTTATGTTTAGTTACATAGATATTTTAAAAGGGTTAAAACTTAATGTATAAACATTAACGCTTTGTTATTGATATTTATAATATCTAAGAAAGTTACTTACAATGAGAAAACTTGATCACATATGCCTTATAAAAAAAAATTAGCGAAATATGTCAGTTGTTTGTTTTCTTAGAAAAAGTTGGTCAAAAGTTCATTTTTGGCCAAAATAACTCTATTTTTAGTGCAAAATACTTGAGAAAAGCTCACCAAGACTAAGAGTTCAATAAGGTTTGAAATGATTCAACGTGATTTTAAGCAGGAGTCGAATAAAGTTCAAACATGATTTATGTAAGATTTGAACTATATTTGAATATGATTTAAATAAGGCTAGAACATGATTTGAGTAAAGTTTGAACTATTTTCAAACATTATTCAACTAAGATTCAAGTAGAGTTTGAATAAAGATTGAACAAGATTCTACATGGTTTGAGAATGATTCAAGCATGGTTCAAACTATGTTTGGATAAGATTTAAGTGAAGTTTCATAATTATTTAACATAATTTGAGCAAAATTTAGTTACAATAGATATCATAGATTGCATTCTAACAGCTATAATAGTTATTGATACAACTGTTTATTTAAGTAAATGTAAAATAAAAGAGTAACACAATAAAAAGCTATTGCAACAACAATGACATAAAATAACTTATAACAAAAGAGAGTTAATGAGTAATTAGTTTATAGGCCGTGACTACACCTTTGCTTCATGAGATCCTTCTAATATTTTGAGAGCCTTCACTTTCCTTTGAATGGCCGATCTTCGGCTTCAACAATAGAGCCAACACAAGAACCCTATTTGTTTCTTCATGAGCCTATATGTGTTCTCATTTCCAATTAGAAAAATAATTTTAATATAAGCAATTAACCATATATTGTGTATATAAAATTTTAAACATAAGCTACAATAACTAGTACTCTAATCTCAAGCTACAATCAATTTATGTTTGCACAAAGTACCCTTATCTTGAAACTTTCTACTTGTACATGTCATCCTCCCTTAATCAATATCACCATTGAGGTCACTATTAGAAATACTTAATTTAATTACTCTTGAGATCGGCAATCAAGCTTGAATCCATCTCTAAGAGCTTCCCGAATGATGCTTCAATTTCCTCTGCCCAAATAATTTTAATATTCATTATAATAATGCATCTATAGAAGAATCCTCTGTATTGGTGTCTAACAACGTCCAATAAGATGGTTATTGATTATTATTCGAAATGAACATAGACTTTTGATTATATTATTCAAACTTTTTGAAATATTAGTTATTATGTAGCTTTATCAGTTTACAAGAAAGAAAGCGTTAGTTCATACTCTAAACCAACTTCATTCTCTAGAAAACAACTATTATTATGCTTTTGACATGTATATATTAAAGTGCCTATAAAATTCCACTCCTCCATAAGCCTTGAAGGCCAAGTAACTATAAGTTTTCAATTCTTCTATAATATTCATTATCACATAATAAGTGCTGCTACACAATGTGCCTCTAAAAAGATAATTGATAAAGCATTAGCTACAATAATCAAGCACCAACTCATGTAGTGTGAGAGTTATCCATGTGTTCTCATATTTTGTATTATTGCCTTCAGCCCAAATATACATAAAGAATCGCAAGTTCTGTGAGAGTTTGAGAAAAATACTTCAACAATATCAATTCAGAATAAAATACATTTGAGTAAGTACAAACCTTATATGTAATTAGTTGTTAAGCTAATAAATGCTTAATTAAAGCTCAATTAAAACTCAAAACCAACTAAGAAATCAAATAAATTAATTCAAATGTGATTTTAAAAGTCTAGCCATATTCGTGCTCAGCTTGAACTTATACCAACTAAAAAGAGCAAACTTCAATTGAATAATTTTCAACTCAACTGGTTTATTCACCATCTACAAATAATCAGTGATATATTGCTGATAATATAGTTTGAATTAAAAGCATAATAACCATAAGATTCAATTATGATAAACTATCAAATCCTGTAAGTTTAGGGGACCCTTCGCAGTACACATTGCACAGCCTTCTTAATGCCTTCTGGATCGAGTGTGGTTGTCAAATATACTTCCTGAACCTGGGGACGTAAAGGGAAGAAAATCTTCAGTAAGAAAATTAGCAAAAACACTGTTCTATAATTCCTTTTGAAAAATTGGTACTTTGCATTAAAAGTTGCATAATTTTTTTTAAAAAAATAAAAAAATACATAGGCTGAATCTCCACTTCCATGAGTGCTGCAATCATTGACTTTAGGGTTATAAAGATCTTCTTAGGAAATGCCCTCATCATTGGTTACCAGATTGGTTGATAATTCAAACTTTTTTAATGGATTAGTGAGATCACTTAGATCAATTATAGATGCTGCAGCTGGTGGTTCTTTAATGTCAAAACCTTTTGACGAGGACTTCATCATTTTTTTGGGATTAGAATTAATAGAAATTTTAATTTTACTGCCCGACTGTTAATTCTCGCCTTACAAAATTTCAAGTCCTCGGGCTAGGTAGTGACACATATACCACGCAAATCCTATGAATTTACATATCTAATACCTATATTTTAATTTGTACATTTATACCATCCAAATCTTTCATATCACATCACAATACCACCATTTTAACATATAAAAAGTGACACATGAATTGAGTGGTATCTGTGTAAATCTTCCTTAAAAGAATCATTGAATGTACCCTTAAGATTTTATATATCTGCGATAATTAAAAGCTTTTATTGTACCACAAAAACCTCAAAACTTCTTTCATGACCTATAAATAAAAAAATGGTATTTTGTTCTTGTTTAGCTCGTGATCAACTTGATAATGAACGAGCTGAAAATAAATGAGAATTTTCACCTTATCATCAAACTTAGCTCTCATTTGTTTTCCGCCCAAGAGTTAACACAACAAACAAACAAAACCCAACCTCGTTGTTAGACTCACCCTTACTTCCATCCCATTAAAACTATTTTTCAAAAGCAATAAAATATAGGAAAAAACCATATAATTCTTATGTATTTACAAATAAAAAATCTAAAGTTTCATAATTAAACTTACCAACACTTTCGTGTTAAATGGAAAGGTGTATTTTATCTATAATAAAAGTTAATAAAAATGATATATTCGATGTAATGTTAAATAGTTGTTATAAATGTAAATATAAAACTTTTAGGGTTAGATATGTAAATATAAGAGAATTATGAGGTATGTATGTAAATAACTCTAAAATATAAATTGCGGGCAGTTGATCTTTTATGACGTTTGTAAATGGAAGGTTGAATTAAAAGCTCTACAACAAAAGAATAAAGGACTAACCTGTCTTCCAGCTCGTGCAAGAAGCGTGAACTGTTTGTCTTTTGCTGGCACCTGACGAGGAAAAAGAAGAATAGAAAGATGTTAGCCATATGATGTTCTTCTTGTTCGAGAGGAAAGTGGAAGAGCTTGTCAGAGGTTGATTTATTACACTAGAGAGCCACAACTCCAAGTCTTGTGAAACCACCCTCTTCTCCAAGCCTTGACGTCCAAGACGTACACCAGTTATACTGCATGGAATATTGAAAATTTTAACAAAAAAGAATGGGGTTCATATTTTTGGAACAAAAGCAAATATAATTACCTCAGTCACTTTAACCTTTTAATAATCAGTCAGCATTATTTTATCATAAACCAACTGTAGGTTTCATAAAGTAGTTTATAATATTTAGAATTGTTTGATTTAAGTTGTTTGTTGCTTCTAGAATGTCATCTTACAGAAAATGTAAAATTGATGCTTGCGCTTGTGGCAACCAGTTAGACATTGGGAGCAAAAAGTTGATCAATATTACACTAAAACGTCTACTGATTAGTCAAGTACAAAGTTCCTGAATTAAGTATAGTCTTTCAATAAGAGTGTGCTTCTAGATATTTCTGTCTCTCTCCAAAATTTGCGCGATCAATTTGCCTAATTTTTTCCTTGAATTAACCCTGAATGGAGAAAATTATGGGTTATGTTTGTAGATAGAAAAATAGAAAGAGAATAGAAGGATTAGTTGCTTAATTTAATGGTAGCTAAGACAAAAAATAAAAAGAAGACGGATGCACCAAATATCAAGAATATTACAGAGGTCCACCTAATGGATGGCTGTCCTATTGGCGCAGTTATCAATTTCATAATGAAAGAGTTTCACAACCCGTATCTCTTTAGATATATCCCATAATGATGACGTTCCCATTTATAATGAAAGGATTAGGGCGGCCAAAAAATATAATAAAATCTTCAAAACAAACTTAATAAAAATGCTTCACAAATATTAGATGTTTTTCAAGAGGTCTCCCCTTGAACAGAGGGAGGCTCTAAGATCCCCTTCCACATGGAAGTCGAATAAGGTCCGCAACTTAACAATCTCCCAGTTGGAGATAAATTAATCATTACACTCCATTGCAACAATGATGACGCCTAATCAAAGGGATTTCTGACAAAAATTGCATACAACTTCAGTTTCCCTTCATCAACATATCAGTTGTATTCAAGCCCCCAATACTCTTTTTAAACATTAAAATAACATATCCTCCAAAACCAAATTGAGTTAGTTATAGCGTACTCTAAAGTGTTTAATCTTGGCCTGATAAACTAGATTCTTCGCTAAATGCAGAGCATTCTGACTATCACATTACATCACACTCTTCCCACTCTTTGACCAAATACTTAAATTCTATGCATACCTCGATTTTAAAAAAACATATTCCAGCTCAATAAGTGAAAAAATAACTATCTTTTGAAGCTTTAACCCCAACTTGTCACAACCTAGAAAACCTATCTATCAATTTCATTTCAATATTACATAAAATCCACCAAACTACAAAAGATTTAATTTAATTCATAAAACCTTTTTCCTTTACAACACTTAATTCATATTTAAACTTTTATATCTAACATAATAACAAAGCTGAACTATAATATCTATCATATTGCGTTCCATGATGTCTATACACAAAATCTTTGGGGTCTATTTAATCTATAACTGGCTTTCCTAAAAAATGTTAACAAATTACGGGTTGAGTTGTATGACTCAGTAGGCAAATGGCTCTAAATAATAACAATTTTTATTTTAAAATATTTTATAAAAATTGCAGTAAACAATAAAATAAACAGCTGCGTAGTAAAAGAAAAGAGTAAATAAATATTTTCATTTCCTTTCAGGGCTAATCTTCTTTCATATTAATTATAAGCTCTCAATTATTATTTTAATCATTTATCTATTTAATTAAGTGTTTATTATTCTAGATCAATTTTAAATTTGAAGTTCTTTATTTCATTTCAACATTCATTACTTAAGAAAATAAAAATGAATTATTAGAAATCAAACTTTATACTTGAAATTCCTCTCATTCCTCTGTCTTAGCTTCCTCATCAAAATCCCTTAACTCACAAATTAGGGTTTCGTTAGGCTTTGGTTCTCCACTTCACGCCTACGACTCTTCGTAATGGATGTTCGCATCACCAAACGCCTTCCAATCAGGACTTAATAGCTTCTATCGTGTTCAACTAACTTTCTATTAACACATTATTTAATTAAACTTATATTTACACACAAAAATTTATAATATTAAGTGGGGTCGGCTACATGAACAATAACAAAGCCTTAACCCCACTAAGTGGGGTCGGCTAAATGAACCCTTTTTCTTCATTGCATCCTATTTAGTGTCATATTTTCATTTAATCCTAATAAATTAAGATTATTTTTTAAACAATAAGCATAAGTCTTCCTAGGTCTACCTCTATCTTTCTTAAAATAAGTCAAATCTAAAACATCTACTCTACTAATCAAATCATCAGATGATCGACATTTAGTCTGACCAAACCATCGACGACGACACCCTCTAATTTTGTTCGTTACAGAAGCAGCGATGGCTAGCGAAGGAGATCTGATGCCATGTAAAGGGCGGAAGCCACAACGGGTGGAGTTTGAATGAAGGAGATGCTCTGCCAAGACTGGCCGAGTCGAAGAGGAAGACGAAGTAAAACGAAGACGACGTAGGCAAATAAACAATGAGACAACGAGTAGACGAGCGAGAATCAAGGCAAAGAAATAGTTCCTCCCCTCCTGCAAGAAGGCTGGCGAGAAGGGAGCTTTAAAAGTCCTCCAATAACTACCGAGGTTAGGGAAAAAATTTGGCTCTGATATCATGTTGAAATTGAGAATAATGCGGAATGCTTGATTATTTCATTAATATGAACGGGTGTATAAATAACCCTTACAGGAATCCTATAATAGGAAAAATTAATAAAAATGAAATGATATGAAAGGAAAGATATATCACCTGATATCTCGAATAATTAATTTATATTAATTATTATGAGATATAGGAAATAACATAAAATAAAATAAAAAATAATTACTAATCAAAAGAAATAAATATAAAATATAAAAGGAAATATCTCCTTATATTTAGGAAATAATTTATTCCTCATAACTTCTCCTAGGAATAAATTATTTCCTATTATAATTCTTAACAATTTTCATCACTTATCTATTTAATTAACTATTTATTATGCTAACTCAATTTTAGATTTAAATTTCTTTATTTCATTTAAACATTCATTTATGAGGAAAATAACAATTAATTATTACAAATCAAACTTTATACCTGAATTTTCTCTCCTTCCTCTGTCTTAGCTTCCTCGTCAAAATCCCTTAGCACACAAATTAAACACAAATTAAGGTTTCGTTAGCTTTGGTTCTCCACTTCACTCCTATGACTCTTCCTCTTCACTCATAATGGAAGTTCACATCACCTCACACCTTCCAATTGGGACTTAATAGCTTCTATCCTATTCAAATGACTTTTGATTAACACAATATTTAATTAAACTCATATTCATACACACACACACACAAATTTATATCATTATATATAATTAAATAAACTAAAAAAAAAATACTTTTAATACCCTCGGTCCATCCTCCAACCTAGCACCTCAAGGGCGCCTTCCCTTCCTCTTCTTCTTGTTCTTCCACATGACGACTTCTTCTTCCACCACATGCGAGCACAACGTTGCTCTTTTTCCTCCTCTGCCTTTGGTTGTGACTCAACCCACAATCAT